TTCTCAACGTTGGAACGAGGGTTCGTGGGCGGCTGCTGGCCTGGCTGATGACGGGTCTTGGGTGTGACAGCAGGGCGCTCAGTACGACCTGCGAGATTGGCGTCTAGAGAAGAGCTGTCGCGACCTCGACCTGCAGCGCGCGGACGTGTAGGAGGATTCTGAGGGGGGAGATGGGGCTGCTGTAGAAGCTGTTGATGGTGAAGCGGAGTCTGGTTGTCGAAGATGGATGTAGGCGATCCGAAATACTCGATGGGAGGACGGAGGTCGTTGTCGAAGCTGACAGGAAACAGAGCGTCCGCAAGTGTCCTACTTTGTTCCACGGTTCCGGAAGCTTGGCGAGGCTGTCGGCGCTCTGGCTCTGGACCTGACTCGAGCACCGCTTTAGAGAGGTTTAGTCGCTCACGCGAGGCTACGGGATCGACATTCTCCAACTCATGCGCAAAGTATGGTTCCTCGTTTGCCCTGCTATTTCCTCGGGGGCGTGTAGTAGCGCGAGGTGGTGTGACATCAGGCTCGACTTCGTCGCCATCAGAGTCGACGGTGATGTAGCGGTCTTTAGGTGTCTTGACCGTTGCCCTACCCTTGCGCGCCATGATGTCTAGTCGGAGCCGAGGTCTCTGGTTGGTTGGGCGTTGGTGGAGGCGTTTAGCGGCAAGGCCAGGCGATGGCGGGACAGACTCGTTTGATAACTTTCGGCGGGCAGTGCGGGCGACAGGTCACCTTCATTTTGTTGCCGTACGTCACTGGTTTGCTATTCAAATCTCTTAACGCGCAGGGACGCAACTTCCCTCCCGTCAATCAACAGGTGCACCAGCCCGTCGCGCCTTCTGCAACTACACCCGCCGCCCGCGTGCCTCGCATAACTCAGCTTGTCCCGCACTGCGTCGATACATCATGGGTGCCCCGACCGACGAAGCCACCAAGCTCAAGGACCAGGGCAACAATGCCTTCAGGAACCAGGAATGGGACAAGGCCCTTGACTTCTACACCAAAGCCATAGAGGCCTACAATGCAGAGCCCTCGTTCTACACCAACCGCGCACAAGTACACAGCCCACTTGCGCCCCCCGAGCATCTACTAATCTATCCTCCAGACATACATCAAGCTCGAACAGTATGGATACGCTATACAAGATGCCGACACGGCGATCGAATTGGACCCAAACAACGTCAAGGTACTATTGTCGCAAACTCACATCGTCATCATGACGCTCATCGCAGCACCAGGCATACTACCGCCGCGCCTCAGCGAATACCGCCATCCTCAAGCACCGTGAAGCGCTCCGCGACTGGAAGCTCGTCGTCAAGAAAGCCCCCAACGATGCCAACGCAAAGCTGCGCATGGCCGAGTGCGACAAGGTCGTCAAGCGAGACGCCTTCCTCAAGGCAATCGAGGTCGAAGATGCGCCGTCGGCAGCAGAGGGCCTGGACTTGGAACACATGGCTGTAGACCCCTCATACGATGGCGCAAAGCTGGGAGACAAGATGACACTGGAGTTTGTCGAAGACATGATTGAGCGATTCAAGAATGGAAAGAAGCTGGCCAAGAAGTACGTCTACCAGATCATCATCGCGGTCATGGACATTGTCAAGAAGGAGCCCACCATGGTCGAGCACGATATCGCAGATGGCAAAGAGATCACCGTCTGCGGCGATACTCACGGTAGGTCTAGGCACAATGTGTGGATATACTGTATACTAACATGGCTAGGCCAATTCTTCGATCTCATGAACATCTTCAACCTCGCCGGCAAGCCCTCCGAAAAGAACGCGTTCCTCTTCAACGGCGACTTCGTCGACCGAGGCTCTTGGTCCACTGAAATCGCCCTGCTGCTTTACGCCTACAAATGGCTATACCCCGATAGCTTCTTCCTGAACCGCGGAAACCACGAGACCGACGACATGAACAGGATGTACGGTTTCGAGGGTGAATGCAGGGCGAAATACACCGAGCGGGTCTTCAAGCTGTTCTCGGAGTCCTTCTCCGCGCTTCCTCTCGCCACCCTCATTGGCAAGAAGTACTTTGTGCTCCACGGCGGCCTCTTCTCAGACGACAAGGTCACGCTAGACGACGTGCGAAAGCTCGACCGATTCAAGCAGCGTCAACCGGGACAATCTGGGCTCATGATGGAGATGCTTTGGACCGACCCGCAGACAAACCCAGGCCGTGGACCCAGCAAGCGCGGTGTTGGTCTGCAATTCGGACCCGACATCACCAAGCGCTTCTGCGAGAACAACGGTCTCGAAGCTATCATTCGGTCGCATGAAGTACGCATGGAGGGTTACGAAGTCGAGCACGACGGACGCTGCATCACGGTCTTCTCGGCACCCAACTACTGTGACAGCACCCACAACAAGGGCGCATTCATCAAGATCGGCCCAGAGTACAAGCTCAAGTTCACTCAGTTCGATGCTGTTGCGCATCCGAACATCAAGCCCATGGCATACGCGTCAAGTGGCATGGCCGGCATGATCTAATGAAATTGAAGTAAGTTGGTTCAGTCATTGTTCGCAGCGATGCATACTTGGGTGTTCTTCGGCGCATCAGCATACTCGGAATTGGTTGGGGCTGTGTTTGATCTTTCAGGATTGATTGGGAAGGAGCGCTGCTATACGAATGTATTATAGAGCCTGGACGAAGGCGCAATTCCGACGTCGATGTACACGATAAGCATCGAGCAGAAATATAAGAGCAGAACAACACCTCCTGCGCGTCTGACACGCTATCTCGGGTAGCGCGTGGTAGATGCGTTGCCCCTCACACGCGGCCCCACGTGTTGCATCTCAATGCGGCTAAGTCTGTTGACAAACATGGGTCGTCCTCGCCTTCCATCTCATCGCGCACGTCCGCCAACCTGCTAACAAAGCGCCCTTTACGCCTGATCTCGCCGTAGATCTATGACACCGGCACCCTGTCGCATCCCTCATTGTTTCTACATCAGCAATGTGAAGACCAATCCACTTGCGCAATCACCATGTCGCCGTATCAACAAATATTCTCCACCAACGCCGTCCTAAGCGTCTGGCGCAATCTTCGCAATACCAAGGATAACAACGATCTTCTCCTCGCATTTCAGTACCACCAAGACGATGCTCGCGGCCAGAAGAGCAAGAAGTATGCCAAGGGCGGCGTTGTGGAGAGCTCGCAAGAGGTCGCAGACGGAAAAGCGATCGACGTTGGTGGCAAGAGCATTGGCTTCGTTGTGCCATGGCGGGCTATGCAGGCTCAGCGACGTGAACTGAAGGAAAAGGAAAAAGAGCTCGCTGAAGCACTAGTGGCACTGGCTGGAGAGGTTGCGTTTACGGGTATGTGCCTAGCGATGGGTGGTCTTGGGGAGTGTTAGAACATGCGCATATACTGACTGTCACGATAGACCTTTCTTCCACCCTGCAGTCTTCGCTCACGCAAAACCCCCTCATCCAGATCCGACACCTTGCCGCTGGTCTGTCCCGTCAGATGTCGAAAATCGAAATACAAATGGCCGACAATGCACCTTTCGCAAATGGAAAGAATCTATACACCGGCGGAGAGATAGCGCAAAGGTTCCTCCCGCCGATACAAACACTCTTCCAACAGCGGCCCGTACCCCAGCGTATGATCTTCGAACTGCTCATGGAGTTGAAAGACCTCATTTACATGGGCATGGCAGGATGTGAGAAAGAAGTTTTGGAATGGGAGGTGGATGGCGCTGCGATCGGAGCGTTGGAGGAGCTGGATGATGCGATGGTCAGAGCAGCCACACCAACAGTACCAGCCATCGAACCGGAGCAACGAAAAGAGATCGAGACTGGGCCCAGGCGTATACTGAGGCGCAAAGCCTCGAGCCTCATCTCCAACTCTGTCGTAGTACAACAGCCAGTCTCCTTCCTCCTTGCAGCGCCAGAAGAACTTCTTTACAGTCTCGAATCACTCGAAACGACAGCACTCGCGCTTACACACCTTCCACTCCCCATACCCGATCTTTGCGCACACGCCGTTATAACGCTCCGTCGCCTAACGCCTCGGCAAACTCTCACAGACTTCTCGCAGCAGAAGAAACGAAGAAATGGCCGGTGTGCAGAGTTCGCGCGTTGCATGCGGTGGGCTGGTACGCAGTGGCGGCAAAACGGTGGATGTAGGAGAGGTTGCCTGAACGAAGACGAAGACCCTGAAAACCTTCCTAGCTGGCATAGGAGTAGTCGCTGGTTCGACGAGAAGGGCAGTGGGACATTTATGGTCGGTGGAGGAAGGGCGACGCCGAAAGACGACGGATTTGGTGTCATCAAGATGACGCCTTCGTAGGCAGCCCGCGGTGGGATTTGGAAACTCTTTCGGAACTGGCGTTATGGATGTACGTGTACGAAGGGATGGGTTTGGATGATACTCCGCGCAACGATACCCTTTTTGATTTTTTGGTATATATAGGGTAGGAGAACCGCTTCTGTGAATACACTGATGAAGCCTGCGGAAAGCACTAGAGACATTGCTTCGTCTATATATGGCGAGAGAGAGAGTGCACAGTCACTAACACGGACAGGAATGCAATGTACTACGTAGTCATGTTTGAGATATCTCGATCTCTTTGTGCCTCTGCCTCTTCGGGTCGCACGAGACACGCTCTTCTCTAGTTCACGAGAATGCTAGAGACCCTGTTGGGAGTCAATGGCCTGTGGGTCATTAAAGACTCAAATCTCGGGTGGGTCTGACAGCTTACGTACACGCTGGTGTCCGCCTCTCAGATCAGATTCGGGCGTCTCTAGTGCTGTATACGGTCACTTGGGGGTCTGGTGAGTCGTAGACTCACACGTACACTAAACTCACATGCCACGATGGTCTTGAGTCGAAGCGCGAGGGTAGAGTCACTGTGCGACGTCTGTCGAGTATAAAAGGCGGATGTTCAGTACAGTATCTTACTTTCTGCACTGCATATCTACTCCAATATCCATACCAAAGGAGCGATAACCAAGTCTTCACGAAATCTTCCCCCAGCAATCCAGCCCACTACCATCCAGCAAGTCAAAATGACTACGGGCATTCCCATAGACGATCCCTTTTACGAAGCCCCTCCGCCCATCGTAGATGTCGAATACGGAAACCCTTTCTACATTGCAAACCCCGCGCAAGGCCTTAACGCTGCATATGAACCGGGAAAAGGCGTCCGAGAGAACGGCAACTTGGGCAAGGACATCGACGACCTCACTGAAAAGACATATCTCTGGCAAAACAAGCAGGACCTTACGGAAGAGACTAGCTATCAGCACTTCGTCCTCAACTACAAGAAATACCAAGTTGTATGGCGATGGATCAGGTGCGGACCGAGGCTGTGCGGGAACGTCAAAAACCCAGAGGATTTGACCTGTCCTTGTGGCTGGAGATTATGGGTGGACGCTAAGCCGCCTGGATGGAAAGAGGGAGGGGAATTGAAAGCGGAGACGGAGGGATGGAAGGACGAGGTTAATCCCTTCGCTATGGATTACAATGGAGATGCCGTTGGTGACTGGCAATTCGACATGGTGGACGGTGTTTTGTGCAGGAAGGAGATTTCTACCGGCAACGTAGAACAGGTGGTGTACAGCCAGGTAAAGGTTAAGGGTGGTTGGACCGGCCGGTTGCCGGGTACTAAGTAGTCTGGGCTTTCGGTTGAGTGACTTTTATGGACACACAGATTGAATTCTTCTTATGGAACCAAATTGATCAATACCTTTCCTAATGCTACATCTATCGTTTTGGAGCTGTGTACTAACTTATGGACAGATACGAGCGCCCATGTGTTTTAGAGTGGACTCGAGTCTAAAGAAAAGCCTCACTATTTCCTCTTTTTTCTGAACCTTGCTCTTTGTTGCGGTTACCTAGTTCTCTTCTAAACGCGTAGGCGCTGTCACTAAACTGCGACTCGGACCAGCCACTGTCGCGGATTTTGTGTATTTCTAGACACGCTCTTATGGCTGCTTATTTATTAGAAGCTCGCTTAAACTTCGAGATCGTAAGCTTAGGGGCCTTGGGCACGGGTCGTGAGCACGTTCTATCTGTGAATTGCTTACTGTATTGCTCTCGGACTATGTTGCAGTAAATTACCTTCGTTTCGGGGTCCTTTGTCACGTATGACGTTCAGATCTGCTCCGTCAGTACTTGGTCGCGTGCATCAAAGTGCAACCTTCCGGAAATTTATTGCTCATCTTTGGAATGCACAACCTACAAACATTAGTGCGCTCAGGCTGTTGAAGTCGCGTTGCATTGGAGATCAAATGAAGAGGAATCCAATAGCTCAGGCGGGAAGGGGGGGCTATGGAGTAAGATGAGTACCTACGGTAATCGAAGTGACGAGGCTCAGCCGCAGTGTGGCTTCGAGGGGATATTCTCATTGGCGTGCTCGCATGCTTGACCGGTCAAGAATACAGGCTCCCCATAGGCGGCAACTAAGAGCCTTGCTGACCGTGGTAATATAAGTGAGCCTTTCCCCCGGACTTACTGTACTTTGCAAAGAATTCTGACGTTGACCTATCCTTCCAGTATGTCAGCATCCACTGACCCGCTCGACGAAGAGCTCCTGGAACCGGTGACGCCCAGGGCTAGAGTAGCAATCGTGCAACAACTATGGCCAGACACAGGACCGCTAGCATATAACGAAGATCGCCTTGTGTGGGATGCATACTTTGATTTTTACACTCGCGAATGTAACGCAATCCTATCGGGACTATCCTCTAGAGAACAATCGAAAACGCACCGTCTACTTTTGGCAATCGTACACCTACTACTAGAAGAAACCGAGAAAAAGAAATTCGAAACCGGAGAACGTATAGATATGCTACCGCCGGGTTACCTTGCACCTTCGGTAACGCGTGCAGTTTGGATCGATTTAGTCACTCTAGCGTCTCGCATCCTGACGATGACCATCACTGTGTGGCCTGAACAGTCTCAGAAAAGTTTTCCGAGGACCGTCATACCCTGGACCCAAGGATCGCTCCGGAACGCAATGCATAGCTATTTCAATCAATCGCTGGAGATACCACTCGACAACAATAATGGTTTCATTGGACCGGGCCTAACCTTTTACAACATTGAGCGAGTCTCGGGTATCAAGATGGTACCGACGGATAACTTGCTCGATCATTTGCTTCTTTTCGACGAAGATCGAAAGCTGTATGTATTCCATCATGCTTCATTCTTGAGGAAGATGATAGCTACCAAAAGGTACGCCGCATAACCAATCGAAATAGCTGGTAGCAGGGCTGACTTTGTGTCCACATAGTCCATTTTTCCCAGATGGTCTCATACAAGAAGCCTTGTGTACATTCGCTATTTTACTCCCAGATCTGGATCGCAGTTCGAAGCGTTGGACGTTGCACTTTTCCCGAACGCACAAGAACATACTTGTGGACGCTGCCCAGGTGAGCTTGCAAAGTGCGGTCACTTTCCAATCGGGCATTTTTCCAGGCGCTACGAGCGATACCAGTTCTGGCGTGATCGACTAATCGTGCTGGAGGAGGTCGTGGAGGATGCCATGCCACCATCCAGTCAGCTGCTGTCTAGCCTGCAAAAGTCCAATCAGCAACTATCTAACTCGCTACTCAAGGCGATGAACAGTAAAAGTGATCGATGGATCAATTCATGGTTTGCGATTGTGGCGATAGGAGTTACTCTCTTCTTCGGGCTGGTACAAAGCATTGAGGGCGCCATGCAGGTGTACAAAGCATACCATCCAGAAGGGGACGCGTCGTGAAGGCGATGTTCCTGGAGCTGAATACGAGGGGGCAACTCCCACCAAGATTCTCGCCGAACCTACATCTCAATAAACCGTTATTTCGTATTCTAATTCTGAGGTGGCGCAACTCGGCAAGCCGAAGGAAACTGCACGCGACAAGAACCGGCGCGTGGAAAACACGAGTGGCGCAGTGGGGACCTCTGCACTAGCGTCCCTACGGCTAGCCTAGCGCCGTCAACACAGGGTCCAAAAACCCCCGGCTCGCAATCTCAGCCCATTCTGCAGCATGCAGCAAGTCCCTTACTGCTACGCGAACTCCACCACTCCACCCCAAGCTCGCTGCAGTTGCCCCGCACGAGGCGAATATATCGTCATCTGTGTAATCATAGTGGATACAGAACATAGGCGACCAGCTTTTGTCGCGGCGGACTTGATCTTCTAGGGAAGGTACGAGAGCTGCAAGAGTCGATTGATAGACCGGACGAAAATGTTGTTGAGGAAAGGACGATGGGTAGCGTGGAGATAAGGATGCAGCGGCCTGCAGCAAGCACATTTGCGGTGTCGAGTGCTGATTAGCATACGCTGGTCATGCTGACGTCATGGGTCTCCGCGGCTTCCTTCGCGTGAGGAAGATCTTTGGTTGAGGGGTGGAAAGATGGGGATGATAGCTGGCAGACCGGTGGACATGGCAGACACCGCTTTTTCGCGTGTGTATTGGTTGTTGTGGGTTAGTGTGATGTTCGCCCGAAGCTCAGAGAGGTGGACTTTGAGAAATGTGTTCAAACACCCCAGAAATGGCCTTGTCAGTCTTGGATGATGTAGAAGTACATTTCGTGGATACAATTTATGCACAGCAAAAGACAATGGTATAACGATCAAAGGCTGTAATTAAAATGCTATATAAAAACGCTCAGTATAACACTTTCTTTTTGGGAAACGCCAGTAGAAAACCCATCTATCATCTATATGCTTCGCATGCAACAATGCCAAAAAGTAAAGACATAAAGCCTAATTGAAAGCGACACAAAACGTTTGCCGCCCTGGGGGTATCTCTTTCTTTAAATGCACACCTAAGCGTACTTCTCAATCATAGCGAGAGCGCCCTCGCGCTCGAGGCCCTCCAATGCGGCCTTGAGCTCAGAAACGAAGCGCTTGTCGTCACGGAGATCGTTACCGAAGAGGGTCTTGATCTCAAGCTGGGCCATGGGGCCCTGGGCAGCGTAGGACTGGAGCTCCTCGACCATAGGGTCGTCGACCTTGAAGGCCTTGCCGGCGTCGTCGATGCCGCTGTTGTAACGGAACCAAGCGGCAGCTACGAGAGTGAGGCGGCGGAGAGGTCCGTTGGCAACGATCTGCTCAGCAATGCTGGGCATGATGAACTGAGGGATCTTGCCGGAGCCACCGAGGCAGATACGGGGAAGCTCGTCCTTGAGGGTGGGGTTGGAGAAACGGCCGAGGAGGGTGTTGATGTAGTCATCGACGCTGACACCGGGGATCTGGGGAAGGAGCGGCTTGACTTCCTGGTTCATCATGTTGATGACGAACTGGCGGTAGACGGGGTGGCCGATGACCTCGTGGATGTAGGTGAAGCCAGCGAGCTGACCGGCGTATCCCATAGCAGAGTGGCTGCCGTTAAGGAGGCGGAGCTTGATCATCTCGTACTCCTCGACCTTGTGCACGTCGGGAACGATCTGGACACCGGCCTTCTCGAAAGGTGGGCGGCCGTCGACGAACTTGTCCTCGAGAACCCACTGGTGGAAGGGCTCGGTGACAACGGGCCAGGCATCCTCAACACCGAAGTTCTCGGCTAGGCTGACCTTGTCCTCGTCGTTGGTACGGGGAGTGATACGGTCGACCATGGAGTTGGGGAAGGCACCGTTGTTGGCGATCCAGTCGGCGACCTCAGGGTTCTGGTGGCGGGCGAAAGAGACCAGCATGTTACGGCTGATGTCACCGTTCTTCTGCATGTTGTCGCAGGAGAGAACGGTGAAGGGTCGGAGACCAGCGGCGTGGCGCCTCTCCATGGCAGCGTAGAGGTAACCGAAAACAGTGCGGGGTGGCTGCTCACCAGCCAAGTCGGCGGCAACATCTGGGTGGTCGGTTTGGAGCTGGTGGGTGTTCTCGTTCATGTAGTAACCGCTCTCGGTAACAGTCAAGGAAACGATGTGGGTGTCGGGGTGAGCCATCTTGGCGATAACAGCCTCAGCGCTGTCGGGAGCAAAGAGGTAGTCGGTGATGGAACCGCAAACGCGGGCAGTGGTACCCTCAGCGGCACGCTCGATGATGGTGTAGAGGTTGTCTTGGGGCTTCAGGGCATCGCGCATGGGAACAGCGAATGGCTGAAGGTCAACACCGCAGATGGACCAGTCCTTTACGGCGAATTGCTCAAGAAGAGTGTCAACGTAGGCTGCGAGATGGGCTCGGTGGAAGCCACCAACACCAACGTGAACAATGCCTTGCTTGACACCCTCACGCTGGTAGGTGGGGACAGCGACATTCTGGAGTTGGGAGAGGTTCTTGCTGCTGAGCTTGAGGGGAGCTGCGGGTGTTTGGCGCTGCGATGTGGTGGTGCCAGCGGTAAACTTCTCCTCCTTTCGTTGGGAGGATGTCCTGGGAGGGGCGTTGTAAACGTTGTTGTTCTCAGGTGTCCGGCGAACGGCCTCAGAGCTCTGGAACCTGAGGGCAGCAGGGCGGGAAGGCCTAGTGGACTGGAAAACAGCGCGGGCGCGGGCGGCGCGCAGCAGGTTCCTGGGGACTTGAGGAGGCATGGTGGAATAATGTGAGAATGGAATGAGAATACTGGAATACGTGGATGAGAGCAGTGGGAGATACGGTGCTCTAGTATTTATAAAGCGTCAGCCCAATCCTTTTTGTGGGCACATGCGTAGAACCTTGAGCATGGTGCCAAAAAAAAGTCGGATTAGG